CAACATGAAACAGATCAGCAGCATCATGAAACAGATCAGCAGCAACAACATGAAACAGATCATCAGCTGCATTATGTGATTTTTCACAGTGATTATTCTGGTCAGAGATTCATGAGTCTAACAGCCTCAGGGTAGAAGCTGTTCCTCAGTCTAGTGGTTCTACACTTAATGCTCCTTAACCTCCTTCCTGAGGGGAGTGGGGCAAAAAGTGTGTGTGCTGGGTGAGTGTGGTCCTTCATGATGCAGGTGGCCCTCTTCCTGCATCTGGAGGTGTAGATGTCTGTGATGGTGGGGAGGCTGACTCCAACATCTTCTGTGCAGAAGATCTATGAGTCCACCAACATCAGCACCTAAACAGAATTTTCTCATGTGTTTTTGTTTGTTTGTTTTTGTCAACAATCATTTGTAAACAGACGGTGGAGACTTTAAAACGTGGTCTGCAGCCACATGTTCTCCCTGGCTCCATCATGATGGTTAACATGTTTTCTGAATACCGTGCACCCTGAGTTTGTGCCATTCAAAGTTTGAAGGTTCCTCAGAAGGACAGGGTGACGAGAGCGATGGGAACAGGTGGTTTGATTTAATCAAACTGCAACAAAGTGACATGTAAAGTTTTACTCACCAGCTGTCTCCATTTCATCCGTTTGACACGTTCATGGAAGATTCAACAGAAGCAGCTTCACTCATCACAGGTCTTGTTTTTTCAGACCCAGAGTCCTGCTGAGACATTAAAACAGAGTTTGTGTTAGACGACGGTGCTGGGATGTACATTTATTCATGTTCACTTCCAGAGGTGTCGTCTCAGCCGCCTGTGGTTAGCTCCAGGTGTTTGTCAGACACTAACGGCCAGAGAGGAGCTAACATCTGCTCCGTGCTTCAAACAGGAGTCAAGCAGAGAAGTCACAGGACCCACAAACTCCTGGAACTTTGTGGAAGTAGACTTGGACAGATATAAATCCTCTAACTGGAGTGTCTTTGCTCACGTCTTCTCCACGGGGGTTCAAATCACAGAGACAGAATGAAGTGAAGCTTTCACGGCTTCAGTTTAAAAAGACGTTTATTTATTGTTGCCACATGCTCAATTAAAGAAACAGTCTGTTTGTTTACATCAC